TATCTGTAAATAGTTTTACTCCTTTTCTTTCAGTATGAATGCTGTTTATTTCTTTTTCTTGCCTAGTTGTCCTAACAAGAGCATTCAGTACAATGTTGGATTAAAACAATAAAAACAGACATTCTATCTTAATTCTTATTTAAGGAGGAAAGAATTCAGTCTTTCATCAGTGAGTACATTTTTTTTTCATAGATGCAGTTATTCAGATTTAGGAAATTTTCTTCCATTCCTAGTTTGATGAGGATTTTTATTTTATTTTATTTTATTTTTCTTGTAGATGGACACAATACCTTTATCTTATTTATTTTATTTGTATGTGGTGCTGAGGACCAAACCCAGTGCCTCACACGTGCTAGGCAAGTGCTCTACCACTGAGCCACAACCCCAGCCCCTGATGAGGATTTTTGTCATGAAATGATATTGGATTTTTGTCCAAGACATTTTCTGCATCTATGGACATGATCATGTGTTTTTTGTGATTTATCAGTATTGTCTATTATTGCATTAACTGATTTTTGGATGTTAAAACAACTATACTCCTGGGATAATTCCACATGGCCATATGTTGTTCAACATAGTTTGCTAGTATTGTATTGAAGATTTTCACATCTATTTTCATAAGTGATAGTGGCATATTCCTCTGGTTTGGGTACCAGGGTAACACTAACCTCATAGAATGAGTTAAGAAGTGTTCCCTTCTCTTCTGTTTTTTTTGAGGAGTTTCTAAAAATTGGCTGTAGGACAATGTATTTTGGAGAATTTATCAGTGAAGTTTTTTTTCTCTGTGGGAAGTAATTACTAAATTTAAAGTCTTATTATAGGTCTACTTCGATTTTTAAAAATTCTCCTTGAGTCAGTTTTTGTCTTTCTAGGAATCTGCCAGTTTCACTTAAATTTATCTAACTTCTTGGCACACGGTTTTCATAGAACTCTCTTGTAAGTCTTTCATTTCTGTAAGATCAGTAGTGATGTCTCCTCTTTCATGACTGATTTTATAAATGAGTATTTTTTTCTTGTCAGTCTGGCTAAAGGTTTGTCAATTTTATTGATCTCAAAAAACAAACGTTTGTCTTCATTTCTTTTTTCTGTTGTTTCTCTTGTCTCGATTTCATTTATTTCTGCTCTAACCTTGATCTTTCCCTCCCTTCTGCTTCCTTTAGTTTTAGTTTGTTCCTCTTTTTCTCATGTCTTAAGGGACAGGGTTACGATACTGACTTGAGATGCTTCTGACATTTACGTCTCTCAGCATTTCCCCCCTAAATGCTGCTTTAATTTGGTCAAATGATTTTGGGTATGTTGTTTCCCTTCATCTGAACGTATTTTCTAATTTCCCTTGTGATTTCTTCCTTGGCCCATTGTTATTTTAGAAATGTGTTACTCAACTTTCATGTATTTGGGAATTTCCTAAAATTCCCTTCTGATATTATTTTTCCAGCCTCTAGAGGCTGCCCATAGTCCTTTCCTCGTAGCCCTCTTCCATTTTTTCAAATCTAGCAGTCACATCAGTCCAGTCTCTCCTGCCACCATTCCATCTCCTCTGATTATTTTACCTCCCTCGTTCCCTTACAAGATTCTACTCTTACATTGGGCTCACTTGGATAATCCAGAATAATCTCCCCATCTCAAGATCTTTAACTGAATCACATTTGATAAATCTCTTTTGACACCTAAGTAACATTCACAGGTGCTAGGAATTAGGATGGGGGTTTCTTCTGCCTACGGTGTCTTCCTTTCCATTTTTCTTTTTCTTTAATTGTGAAATATAACACATGAGAGCTGAGGCTGATTCCTTGTAGTCAGCCCTGCCAGAGACGGAGATAGTCTTCTGCAGATTTTCATGGACTGGCTGCAGGACAGGCTGAAGGCCATTGATCCTGGTAAAACACTGAGGTGGCTGAACTCACCAGTGATGATATAGATCCTGTTGCTGCTCTTGCAAAGAGTGAAACTCAGTTCTTGGTTATGTCAGGTGAAGGGCTGGTTCTCCCCCAGCCACAAATGCTGGAATTGGGCTGGAAGCCGGTGTGTGTGTTGTTGGAGGTGGGAGGTCTCTTCAATTCATTTGAGAATTGGATCTCAACCTCTATCATAGTAGGAGAAGCTGGTTCTTCCCTCATTCTTGTAGCCTCAAAGCCCCAACCCAAGGATCATGGTCCCCTTGGTTTCTGTTGTTCAGCCCTGTTAAATGCTTGTACAATGCTCCAGAACATGATGGGTGTTGGACACCCTTCTGCTGTCCTGTCTCTAGGCTGGTACGGGTATGAGTTCCTCGTTTTAGTTTTTCTCAACACATACACAGACTGCAGAAAACATAATGGTATAGTGGGCAAATCATTACAAAGGAAATATTTCTGTCACTAACTTAGAAAAGATCATGCTAAGCCCTAGAAGTCCCTCGTGCTCCTTCCAGTCCCATCACCTGTTCTCCTCTCTAAAGGAAACCATGGCCTGATGGTTCGGGGGACACTTGCTTGCTTCTCCCTAGAGTTTTACCGCCATCTTGTGTATACCTTAACATTATGCTTTAGTGTTTCTTGCTTTTGAACTTTAGAGGGATGGAATCATACAGTGTATGTTATCTTAATGTCTGGATTCTTTAGCTCACTGTTTTTAAGGGTCATTCACTTTGGAGTGGTACAACCATAGTTTTTCATTTTTATTGCTGTACATTAATTTGCTGTGTGAACACACCACAATTTATCCATTCCTCAATGAATGGATATTTGGGTTGTTTTTGGCGGTCACCAATAATGCTGCCAAAAACATTCTTGTAAGTATCTCAGTTATCTAGTCCACGGTTCCTGGAAACTTAGTATGCTTTTATAGCAATGATTATTATAGTGCCCCAGACTCTTCTTTCTAGTCACTTTTTCTTTGGGGTCTGGGGATATCACAAAAAGTTTAGCCCTAAGAAACTTAGAAAACTATTGATTTGGGCCACCCAGAAGTCAGGATTGTTTCTGCCTTGTTTATCATTAGATTGCTAGTTCCTACCAGGTACATTTGGTTATCCTATGAATGGATTCTAGAAGTGGAATCTGTATGATGTTAAACCAAGCTCAAGTAGCAAACTTTTTCCAAGGTTTCTATAGGTAAGACCTATATTTTCTTACTATAATCTTCTCTAACCCACATGACCTTCATACTTCCCACTTTGTATTATATTTATTCACCTATACATATATTTTATACATTTGATTGTAAACTTCTAGTGAGAAAAAAAAATGCCCCCAGATTAATTTTGTAACTGTGTTAGTCAACTTTTTATCACTGTAACAGGTATCTGAGGAAAAAACTTAGAGGAGGAAAGATTTATTTTGGCTCATGAATTCAGAGGTCATGGTTGACCGGCTCCAAGAGAGAAACATCATACTGGAAGAGTGTGGGGCAGCAAAGCTGCTCAGCTCAGGGCAGCCGGGAAGAGTGGACATAGAACACACAAAAAAAATACTATTCCAGGGCATGTCCTCAGCAACCTACATCCTCTATTGTGATAGGAGGTGGCCCCCAAAAGCTCATGTGTGAGACAGCGCAAGAAACTTCAGAAGTGGAATGATTAGGCTATGAGAGTCTTACCCTAATCCATGCATTAATTCCCTGATATTGATTAACTGGGCAGCAATTGTAGGTGAGTATGTTGTGATTGGAGGAGATAGGTCATTGGGGGTGTGCCTTTGGGGTATGTGTTTTGTCCCTGGTCTGCAGAGCTCTCTCTGCTTCTTTGTTGCTGTGTTCTGTTGCTTTCTTTCTATCACACTCTTCCACTGTGATGGTCTGACTCATCTTGGGCCCAAAGCAGTAGAATCAGCTATCTATGGACTGAGAGCTCTGAAACCATGAGTCCCAAATACATTTTTTTCTCCTCTATGTTGTTCTTATTGGGTCTTTTGGTCACAGCAAAGAAAAAGCCGACTAAAACATCCTTCAACTAACCCTCATAATTTCCTAAAATTTCCACCACCTCCCCATAATGCCATAAAATTATTAATGCATCCGTAGATTAATCCACTGATGAGTTCAGAGCCCTCATGAGCCAATCACTTCCTGAAAATCCCACCTCTGAATATTGCTGCATTAGGGATGAGGTGGTCAATATATGAGTCATAACAGTTAGCCTAGGGAATCTTGCATAAATAAATGCAAAAGTTATATTTCATATGTGTCAATATAAACAACACTAAAAGAGAGAATTGTAGGGAAGATTGTGAAGAGAAAGGATGGGGCAGGCATTACTAAATTGGCTGGTTCCCTCTTCTGATCACTGAAAAAGGTAGAGAGAAATTGATTTTCACACTTTCAAAGGTTCAAGTGACTTATCTGAAGCAAAAGAGTTGATTTGACATTTAATATTTGCCACACACACACACACACACACACACACACACACACACAAAACCTCTTTATATGGTAACAATTGTAAAGTTTGGTTTTAAAGTATTCTCCACCCCCATGAGCATTCTCTTTTGTTAGAAGTTTTAATCTAAAATCAGCCAAATTTTTTTTCTGTTAATGTCAACAAATGCTTCAGCACATCGTTCAAATGAATTCATTTCCTATTATGTTTCTCAGGCGGATCAAGGATGGACTGAGATGGTCTCGCATTGACATTCCATATTTGGCGTTCCTGCTCTGTGCTTAAAAAGAGTGAAGTTCTATATTTCCACTCCACATCCATGAAAACAATCAACTCTAGCTATCATTCAATAGAAGAGCTGTGTTGAATATGACCTTCCTAATCAGCTGATGGAATTCCTATCATAATGCCTTGAATCCATTTTTAAAAATAAAATCAGTTGATAAGGACAATGTTCTGCTTCACTGTGTACTTGGAAGCTAACATGAAACAGGGGCAAGTCTAGAGAAAAGTCCCACTCCACAATTCCTCAACTCTTCACACACTTATAAAGGCATTATTCCACCTACAGCTGTCCTCTGAGGTCTATGTCCCAAGAGATCCCAGAAATCTTCCAGGGAAGAGAAGAAATGCAGGCCTACCCTCTTCTTGCCCATTCAAGAGTGGACATCAAGTGAATGTTCTCAGACCTCTTCCCCATCTTCTGAAAACCCAAACACAGTTCCTAAATTGGTAAGGGTAAGAGATATACATATCTGCTCCATGCTGCCCACTGTCCTACCTAGCTCCATTTTCATTTCCATGGCTAGGGATGAACTATCCAGCATACTGAAAGTTACTGCCAGGAATCTCTTCATCAGCATGTGCAAATATCCATGGAATAAGTCCTCTCTGAATGTATGTTCACCTACATAGTCTATTAAATTTGGTCTATGATTAAATTTAATAGTCTATTACATTGGGTCAAGAAAAAAAGTCAGTTTCACTTATTACTGGTGGACATGTAAAAGGGTGCAGCCACTGTGGAAAATAGTTCCAGAGTGTCCCAAAAAGTTAAACATAGAGTTACCATATGACCCTATAAGTTTATGCTAGTGTATGCCCAAGAAAATTGGAAACATACATTGTCACAAAACTTCTACACAAATATAACATTATTATAATAGCCCTCAAAAACAATTTCAATGATTTTTTTTTTTTTTGGTGGGAATTACCAGAGATTGAACTCAAGGCACTTGGCCACTGAACCACATCCCCAGCCTAATTTTGTATTTTATTTAGAGACAGAGTCTCACTGAGTTGCTTTAGTGCCTCATTTTTCTGAGGCTGGCTTTGAACTTGAGATCCTCCTGCCTCAGCCTCCTAAGCTGCTGAGATTATAGTGTGTGCCATCGTACCTGGATTCAATGACTGTCTCTGATGAAATGGATAAACAACAGTACTATTTGCGTACAACGAACAATTATTCTGACATAAAAGGGAATGGAAGTTACATGCTACAACATGTTTGCACCTGATAACGTTAAGTGAAAAATATGAAAAACAAAAAGTCACACATGGCATGATTCATTTATATGAAATGTCCAGGAGAGGCAAATCCATACTGACAAAAAGTGGTTGCTAGGGAATAATGGTAGGAATGAGTGGGACTGCATGGGACAGAGTACTAATAGGTATGGGGTTTCTATTTGTAGTAATGGAAATACTCTGGAACAATATGAAGTGATGGTTGCACAATACAGTGAATGTACTAAAAAACACTGTATTGTGCTCTTTAAAATGATGAATTGTATGTTACGTGAATTGTATCTCAATTTAAGAAATAAAAGGACAGTGCTTATAAAACAAGTGTTAGAGTAGGTCATTTCTATGTCATTATTTTCTGGTTATATTCACTAATGATGTTTTGAGTTAAGGGACATTGTATATTTTCTTCTTGGGAAGGAGTTGGAAAAGGGTGGGCTGGAGGGAAAATATCAATAAGCATTTAACTTATAGGGCATGTTTTGGAAAGGATGACCCCAAGCAAGGATTCTCTTCCCTTCCCAGACAACCATATCCTGCCAAAACCTCCTTCCTTCACTCTGAGCAGGCACACGTGCTGCTCAGATGAAAAGCCAATCTCCCCAGAGCCGCCAAAGAAAACAAACAGCGAAAAAGCAACTGAAGGCTGGGCAAGGAAGCAGGATTCTGCATCCTGGCTGATAACATCTTCAAAATCAAAGTCACAAAGCACGCGAGGGGTCATGGCCACTGAGGGAGTTCAGGGGACATCCAGGACAGGTTGGCCAGAGGTGAGAAAGTCCCCAGCCTCAGTGTTTTCAGCCCAAGTCTCAGCAACTTTGGGCCTGATATGAAAGGAATACCAACGCCCTACCCATATACAGGGAAAGACACAGCGAATTCCTTGGGTCATTTACATAACAAATATAAACAGATTTTTTTTTTTTTCTGTGCCTGGGGTAGCCCCAGCCCATGGTCGAGCACCTTACAAAGGCCACCTTATTAATGGCCTGTTCATTCCTTGCTCCCTTCCTCTAGCACAGATTCCTGGCCCTTTCTCTTTGGGGTCTTTGTTCTTTCTTCAGTGTAAGGAAGCGATCAGCGCAGGGAACCTGCCTCCTTTTTGCTGGGTGAGGGCTCTCAGGAGAGACAGGAGCTCTGAGTGTCTGGGGGGACGTGGGTGAGACTCCATACCCTACTTCTGATGCAGGATTGCTGTGACGCCCCAGTGACACGCGGTCTGACCCAGCTTTGCAGGCTGCAAAGCATCATTCACACGTCCAGAGTGACTGAGGTGTGGCTTTGCTTCTCCTCAGTCTCTTTCAAAATATTTGGCCTATAAATGGCTCTTAGTCCCGACCCATCGGTAGGGTTGGGTCACGTGAAGTTGTTCCTTAGGACTTATTCGCCAGGAAGGAAAGGAGGGTTTCCTCTCCCTTTGTTGGTGGAAGCAGCTCCAAGCACCTCCTCCCCAGTCTTCCATCCAAAACTCTGGTCACAGCGCCCCCTCGTGGGAGCATGGAGCAAATGCCTGGGAAACCCCATTCCAGCCCGGGGGAAACCGGAGAGCCAGCGGGGTCAGGACCAACCCCGGGGAGGTGGGGCTGGGTCCACCACGTGGGGGATGAAGCCTAAGTCCTGCAGGCTCCAGTCACGTCCTCTGGATTGTTGTCATTGCAGAATATAGACTCCATATTGCCAGATATTTTGATTTCTCAAGACAAGCTAGACATTTCCCAATTGAAACAACGGTATTTAAGCCAAATAAAACAAGCCATGGGACAGAGTTTGTGTCGCAAACCCTCAGGAAGCATTGATTTTTTTTTTGTTGCAAACCATCAGGAAACGCTGATAACAGTTCATCCCTACACAGAAAGGAGGAACAACCTTGGTAACAGAAAATATCAAATACAACATTATAAAAAGCACAGCCATGAACACATTTGACAAGAAGAAAAAGATACTAAGCCTATTCACTTGCACTTGAATTTTCTCAATTATATTTTTTCCTAGATACTGATTTATTTATTTATTTCTTACTTCTTATATTAGCCAGCAGAAATTAGAAGATTTCAGTAAAAAGTATGGGAAGGGAAACTCAAGATATAGAAAACACGATTTCCATTAATATTTTTCTTCTACATGGGGAAAAAAATCAATTTTGTTAGAGATATAGATTTGCTAACTTCCAGAATACCAATGTCCAAGATGGTATATCTGAACATGTTAGAAATTCACACTCTTGGAAACAGCATTCAAAGTCTGCACACTTGCCTTCATCATGCCTGTTAGACTCTTCTACCATTCATTCCCTGTGGATCAGGGAAGCCCACTCTCTTTTTCTCCAAAACATTACAGGGCTTTTCAGAAAGTTGTATAATTCTTTGATGAATTGCTCTCCCTCTTTTCCATTTTTGAAGCTTCTATACATTCTTCAAAACCTCATTTACATATTACCTACCTCCAGTCTTCAGGCAGAGAGAGTTGCCCAGCACCCAATCTGTGCTTTCAAAGTCCCAAGCCTAGAGCTCTAATAAAACAGTTATTAAATTGCTTCTGTATAATTATTTGTTTACACATCTTTTGACGTTGGAAATCTACGCAAAGGTGTTATAGCTATAAAACTTTGAAAACATCTGGTAGATTGGAAGCTGGTGAGGTATATTTGCTGTTTCGCTAACCTGAAGCCTAGTGACTGCAAGACTCATTCTAGCTAACATAATTTAAAAATCTTTTAAAATAAATCTTCCAACTTTTTGAATAAGTAATAGTTTTCATAATTCAAGATTAAAAAGTGTAAATGTGTCCAAATGAAAAGTTTCCATCTCTTCCATGTTTCCAGCCACCCAGTTTCTCTTCTTATCAGCCAATAACGATACTCATTTTTTTTTTTTTATATTCTCTGGATGAAGTCCACATTCCTTTACACAGTGTAATTCTTTCCACCCTCTGTGCTTGTTTACCTTCTCTAGCCTCTCTTTTCTTTTATCCTTCCCTCTACTTTCTTGCCAGAATTGAATTTAGCTTCTCAAAATCCTGTCACCCTAGCCTGCCCCTTCTTCCTTTGACAATGTTTCTCATCAATCAGGCCTCCTCTTTGCCCCTGTGCCTGGTGGGCTTCTAAGGCCCTCTGCTCTTCCCCTCCAACTCTTCTCATTTAGTGACCTAATTGCTTGTTTGCTGATGGACAGCCTTAGCAGTCTACTGACTTCTTGAGGTCAGAGATTCTGTCTCCCTCAGTCATATTAAAGACTACATACTAGTGTCTGGCACATGGCAGGTTTGAATGACCACTGCTCACTCCATGAACATCACCTCTCATTCTTGTTCCCCTGGAGTCCTTCTGAGGAAATCTGGGACTCACTTTTGATGACCAAGTCATTACTTCTCTGGATAAACAGACCCCAAACTCCCAACTCTAACCCAATCTCAGTGTTCATCTCCTTGTAACAGGAGGGAGTCCCCCAACTAATACCCAAAGAACGTCCTGAAGCTGGCTTAGGCTCCCTGTTCAAATTCCCACTGGGAGGAAATGAAAATATTGTGAGCATGTAAAGATGTTTCTCACTAGAAGAATAAAATGGCATGGATGTTTTAATCATCTGCTTCTGAGCCCAAGCAACTGTTGACACAGCAAAATTAGCCTTTCTACCGTAAAAGGCTGAAAACAGACTCTGAGCTGTGATGAATTTTCCTTGACCAGTCCTAAATGGGGACTTTACAGAGACATCCAGCTCCCCCGGGTGGTCCAGGCACAAACCCTCCCTCAC